ACTTCTAAAAGCCAACCTCAGCACTCAGAACACTGTGTCTCTATTCCCCCCAAAAGAAAGACAAAACCATTAGAACAAAAGATGAGTATGCCTTGCAAACACAGAAGCATCTCGGATACAGCCACACCCACAGCACCAGAAATGACAGACACTTACACATGCCGGCTCCGGCAGGCTCGGGTCATTTTTAATGATAATTTTCTTTGCTTCCTCCAGGTTCTTTTCTCTTCGTAAGTTATCTTCTGCCTGATTTTAAAAACAATGCAATTAGTAAACATAGTTTTGGGTGTAGTTAACTATAAAAATGTGCACAGTGGCCAATTCATTAGTCACCTCTTTCTTCTCCCGAGAATCATTCTTCATCTGTTCCCTGTGCCACATCTTTTTAATGTTCTTCATCTGTGACTTAGAAATGACATCCCACCGCTAGAGAGGGACAGAGCATAAAGATATGTATCATCTTCAACACCTCTATGTGCACAGAAAAACTTATCATTCACAAAACATGATCCCAAAAGGTGTTGGCACACCCTACCTCGTTTTCCTTTTGTGAATCCACATAAATGGTGGGAAATGGCTCTTTTCCAACTGTCATCAAAGCCTTGGGGAGAGGGAGAGAGAGAAAAGATTTCGTTAATATTATACAAAGCTTAGTAACCAAAGCCACACCTGGATTATGAATCTGAGTATGACCAGGAGCCTAGAAAAGTATCAAGACCCAACAGGCAACAGGATGACTGGCTGAACCTTCTTCAGAAGGAGCTGACTCTAAGAACATCCAGGTCACACTACAGAAAACCCCAACCAGTTCATGCACACAGTAAGCGGCCTCCCGTGAAAGCAGGGTCAACCGGACACAGGGACAAACACAGCCATGCCAGCAAGAGGCAGCAGAGGGCAAAAAACCCCTTCGCAAACAATATCTGAAAGGCTAGTGACCTGTAAAATATCAAAGGAAGGACCTAAGACAGGCAGGTCTGAAACTCTTTCAACAGAATACCAGCCAAGTTACAAAGAAGGCTAAGCTCCATTTAATTTGAAAAATTCTTAGGAGGCTATATATTCTTTTCTCACCAATATTGGTATATTAGTCATTACTGTATTTCACTTGTGTTTTAAGTTAATATAAAAAATGAATTTAAAAAATGCTTGTTATGTTTTTACTAATTTAGTGTGTATGTATGTGTGTGTGGGGTGGTGGTGGTGGTGGTGGTGGTGGTGGTGGTCAGAAGACAATTAGGAGAATTCAGCTCCCTCTTTCCAACATGTGGGTCCCAGGGACTGAACTCAGGCTGTCAAGCCTGGCAGAGTCACCTTTACCCACTGAGTCATCTCAATGGCCCCCCAAAACTAATTTTGAACAGGGTCTCTAGCTCAGACCAGTCTTGACCTTGCTGAGTGCTGAGGGTGACCTTGAACTCCTGATCCTCCTACCTTTACTCTCCAAGTGCTGGAATTATAGGCTCAAGGTAAAGAGCCGTATCTTAGGAACCTCAAGCACTGTCCGAAAAATTTCCAGTGACTACATCAAAAAGGAAAAGAAATGTCTTCTCTCTGGAGATAAAATCTCAAGTTTATAAAACCTGACCTCGGGGATCCTACCAAGCGTCTAGTCTCTGCCTGTTTAGCCCCCATTAGGTCTATTGAGCTGTCCTGCTCCGGCTGCTCTTTGAGTCACATGTCCTCAACTGTCTGGTCCCATTCTTCAGCGAAAGGCTAGGGGCCATAAAGTTACAAAGGACAGTCACTGGGTGTATAAACAGCTAGGCCTGGGAGGAGACATTAACAACAGTTATTTAGGATTAGTTAAGACTCGCCCCCCCCCCCCCCCCCCCCCCCCCCCCCCCCCGTGCATACTAAATGACAACGTCCCCCACATACATAAAAAGAACAAAAGGAGGAATGCTCAAATGCCTGGAAAATCTCCACCCATTCCCAGAAGACACACTGAGCACTCCATAACTCCTTCATCCTCCTCCCCCACATTCTAAACCACCCAACCCCCAAGACCCGAGGAGCTAGCTTGCGAGTTTACCTCCCACTTCTACTATTTGTCACCTTTTTTTCCTTCACTGTTCCAAAACCAGGGGCAACAGAAACCTTAACCTTCTGGTGTGACTTAGTCCACCTCGCTGCCGGCTATACAGCAGCGAGGGATGTGCGAAGCTTCTAAAAACAGCAAGAGCTTCACAGTGAATTATCATAGGATTATAGTCTCGTACCACATCAATGATGGACTGCATGGTCAACCATGGCCCCATCAGAGCATAGTGGGAAGGATCACTGTGGCGGCCTACATTTTTTTGTAAGGACTCTCTACCTCTCATTAACACACAGTTGCATCTGCAGAGCCCTCGGAATTCGCTTCTTTCCTGACTGTGTGTACACTGATATTCACTTTTTTATGTCAGGATGAAAAGAGCCTATCATTCCATAACAGAAGGGCATACCCTGGAACTGCAACATTCCTCTTCGGAGGTCACCTAAAGTGTTCTTGGTTTTGGAAAGTCACAGGAGACGTCTCAATTGAAAAAGACTTCCCTCTTAAAAGTTAAAAAACAAGACCCTGGCATGACATATTAAAGTATGACCTGGCCTGACCTAAAGAGAAAACACTTCCAGGTTAAGAAGATTTGATGACTGATATTATCAGGCATCTATAAAAACAAGAGATGGCCAGATACAGATGCATAAAAAGAGGAGTGTCAGGGTCTTGCTCTTCCAAAGAGGAAACATCTAACCTCCCCACTTAGAGGGTAGCTAAATTCCAACATTCTGGCTCAACAGGTCTGTCAGTGAAAAATAGCGTGGTGGGGACACTTTGGACCACACCTTAACCTGATGGAGTTAGTTGTGAGCTGAAGAACTCCTGAGACAAGTGTAACAGTCCACTCAGAATGAGCTAACCTCACAGGATGCTCCTAGGCCCCGAAACAACAGTACATCGTGGCATTTTTGTCTTCAACTTTCAGGGTCACGAGTCTGCTTTGAGAAGTGGTCCATGGATAGGTTGCTGATATGTCAAGTCTTTTGAGTCTCAAGGTCAAGATGATCTCTGTACCATGATAAATAAATACATCAAGAGATCTCTCTTTAGACTCAACCAGGCATGAGTTCAGTGTGATTCAGAGGTAACTTTTACTGTTACAAGAGCTGAAAAACAGACAATCTGACGAATTAGAGAGAAAAAGTCCAGAGATGAAAACCTTGGAGAAAAGGAAAGTACCAGCTTTAAATGTTCAAAAAGAAGTTTGGGCTTTGATCTAACACTATTAAATCAACATGTTGTACACACCCTCTACTTTCCCTTTTGGGAGATTCTTTTCAAACGCTAGCATCTGAAATAAAACTATTGGGCTGGGGAGATGGCTCAGTGGTAAAGGTGACTGCCACTAGGCATGACGACCTGGGTTTGAGTTTGGTACCCAGCATTCACATGGGGGTGGGGGTGGGGGGGGGGGGGGTGGGACAGAACAAATGGCTCGGGTTATCTTGGGGTTCCATATCTATGCAGAGGCACACAAATACTGCGCTCCCCCACCCCATGAACAAAGGCAGTATTTTCTTTTTAAAGGATGAATGAAATGTAATTCTTGACAAGTCATTCATCACCAACAGCCATTACTAAACGTGGAGCGGTTGCCCTAATGAGGTTACCTTCAGGCCTGTTTTAAATGGTTTCTCCTTGGTTCCATCTCCCGTTGCATCATTTCCTTCTCGATCAGAGACATACAGCTCTGCTGTTTTTTAAAAGATGAAAAGTTACTCATCATTCACCACTAACTCTCAGTCACTTTACAATGCGGCTGCTTTATCCATTTTCTATCTTTGGAAACTGAAAAAGCATCTGATCCGTAAAAATTCCCATGGTCCAAAAGAAATCAAGGTATTATTTTTTCAAATCTCCCTTTTTAATACTATCCCACCTCCTAACACAATGAATTATAAATCTGACTTTTCTAAGTGAACTTTTTCATCGTTTTAATCTGTTAGCCCTTCTCTTTACTTGACCGTACAAACAATAAAGCCGGAGCTTTAAAATTCATCCTATCTTGATTAGATGCTGCACCTGAAAAGCCAGAGTGACCTGGGGAGAATTTATTTCACCTTCCTGTGCTTATTCTTTATCTATAAAACAAGGAAACCAACAGACATCTTACAGGGCTGTACGTACTGAGAATGAAAGAGAACAAGATGTGAATCAGGCAGCCCAGTAAACAGTGCACAGACAGCAAATGAAAACGTCGTTCCCTCTGCTTTCCAAAACAAACTCAAAACTCTGAGGTTAATCCGCAGAGGGCCTCACAACTGCTAAGTCTAGTTGTGACATCAACTCGGTGTCTAAAACCTCTATTTTTTACTGCTGCAAATCTCAGCAGAAAAAAAAAAAATGAGGCTGTGCCAAAAATAATTAAAAGTCTTAAATCTTTCCCAGAAGATCAGCTGGAGAAACTGCCTATTTGAAGGTTTCACCAGGTCGGAACGCCTTGCAGAGCCCCAGTCTCGGCGGAATCACGAGACTTTCGCAGCAGGGCAGGGCCAGAGAGGCGGTGGCCGAGGGACCCACAGGGCTGAATCAGAACCGGACCTGGGCCACCGAGTCCGGTGCCCAGGTGGCCCAGGTCTGAGGGTCTGGTGCGAAGGGCCAGAATCCCCCAAATATCTGGGAGTGCAGCCACGCTGCGCCAAGCACTAAAGGGAGTTCGGGAACTCAGCCGGAACATTTCCGTACCGGACCACAAGCCGGGCCTCACTCACCTAGTACCATCCCTGCGGTCGCCCTGATCACCTCCGAGGACATCGACTCTGCACCCCCACCGCCGCCTGGTCACCCCAGCGTGCACAGGCTTCCTTGACTGAGGCGTTGCATCATACCACCTAGAGCAGGCGTCGCGGATATGAGTCAGCGGAACGTCGGGCACCCATTGGCTACCGGAGGTGGGCAAGCGACTCAGAGGCCGCCATGTTTGGTCAGGGAACAGAACACTTCCGGTTCGGAGACGCTGGGCGGGGTGCGGCGTTCTCTGGGCTCCGGAGGCGGAACTGGGTCTCCCAGGGTTGGGTAGTACAGTTGAGGTCAAGCTCCCCGCGTTCCTGGCTTTGCGCCTAGCTGTACGCATTGCAGGTTCTGTTTCAACCACTATGGGAAAAGGATTTTGGTTGGGTTTGTTTTATTTTTTAGATTTTTTTTTATGTGTATGAGTGTTTTGTCGGCATGTATGTACGTGCACCAGGTGCGTCCCTTGTAAAAGAAAAGTCATCGCATCCCTTGGAACCGGAGTTATGGATGGTTGTTAGCTGAGAAGCGAACCCAGGTCCTTCGTAAGAGCAACGAGTGCGCTTAACCGCTGAGCCCCCTAAAATATACTTAAAAAAAAGAAGAAGAAGAAAATATGATGAGCGGGCCATCTACCTGCTTCCCCAATAGAACAACAGTTTATATAGCATTAATTGCGTTAGTTGATGTACTAATCCACAGATGATTTAAAATATGCAAGAGGATTTATGTAGTTTTATTGCAGACACTGTGCTATTCGATATAAGGCGTCCGCTAGTTCATTATTTGCAGGGGGCGTGTTAACAATCTCCTAGGTCACCAGTCGGTTTATGCGTATCGCGTCTGGCCAGGATCGGTTTAGCGCTGGAGTTCAGGAAGCGCTTGGTTAACTCTCCTAGACAGTCTCATTTAATCAGATCTTCCAGAAGCTGACGTTTCCTTGATGCATGGCTGAGAGTCACTTCCAGGAACAGGCTGGAATTTGCCAGCGCCCTTTATCGACGGAATTGTGTAATTAGTGGCATTGTTCAGGCTGTGGCCAGTTTAAGGGCGCTCTGTTCTTCTGGTCACCGTGTTCCCGCTCTGTTCTCCGGATTGTTCTGTTATCTCTACCGGGTCCATTTGGTTTGCCGTGCACGGTTAAAGGGTTTGTCTGTTTTTAACATTCACCATTGTCACCCGCTTAGGTTCAGGGCATACGAATCCGACGTCGCCATGTTGACTCCGGGCAGCTTCCGGGTTCCTCTCCTGGGTCCTGTCAAACCCACTGATGTCTTCCAGGAGAGTTCATGTGCATTCACTATTTTGCTCCACAAAACAAATTTTGAAGCGAGAAGAGGGACAAATCACTGTGAGTTCTTCTTACCCGGTCCCAGCCTGAGACGGGGTGTAGTGTATGGAAAATGTAAGTAATGTGTAAAATCTGTAACCGCAGATGACAGTGGAGATATCACTATGAGACTATTATTTAAGGAACTGAAGATTCAACTTCCCTCTCGAATTGGAGAGTGAAATTTAAGCAGAAGTTAGTTCGTTAGTTCCTGGAGACCTTTTTCTTCGGCAATCCCCAAGCTGCTTCAAGTTCGTGAGCTCCTTGTCTATGATCAGCCAGGAGCAATAAGAAATAAAATCATTTAAAAACTAATATCTCATTAAGGAGGACGAATTTGAGCCATTGGGACCCCGAAGCCAGATACACTTGAAAATAACACTACTCTTACAGTTTTCTGGTTCTGTGACCTTGATCCAGACCCCAACCTCCTGAATCTTGGATATTTCCCCTGTAAAATGATAAGAACACATGTCTCAAAAAGCAAAGATTAAGAGTGACCGAGTATATAAAAATGCCTACTATGTGTTTGACATCCACACTAATCTGAATTAGGAAGTGACATTTGGTACTCTTTCGTTCCCTGATCCTGAGTGAATTAAACCTTCAACCTAATTTCTGAGGGTTCTGGTGGACTCCTCACTCTCCTCACCATCCCTCAACATCCCCACCAAAAGCTACAGAGAAACCTTGTCTCAACAAACCAACCAACCAACCAACCAAATAAACAAACAAAAAACCAGTTTGTCAAAGAGGCTCCTGTTTTCTTCTTCCTGGGACCTTTGGTCATGATGGGGGACAGGGCTGACGGGAGTATTGTCACAGTCATGTGGGTATGAGGGAAAGCCCCACATTGTGTCCACACGGCCCAACCCTATCCTCAGGTCCAATAAAGACCAGTCATAATCTGCAAAGCGGCAGAGCATAGCATTTTGCACCCACCACAGTCATTTTTGCATCAGTAGTGTGTGTGTGTGTGTGTCTAGTTTCATGTGCCGGGCCATGTCGTTCAATCTCAAGAAAGAGTAGTCACACAGATGACACTGGAAGGGCCAGTGGCCTGCGTGCATGTGTGCATGTGTGCATGTAATAATGGCTGGGAAGCTGTCTGAGCATGTGGATTCCAGCTGCAGCTCTCCTGGTTGTAGTAGTTACCAGTCCTTCCTACTTGGTGGGTTCCGGGCCAGTGAGAGATCCTAACTTTAAAAAAGAAAAGGAAAAAAAAATAAAAAGCATCTGAGTAACAGCAACCCAGGCTCTCCTCTGGCCTCCACAAAGACACGCACCTCCCCACGTATGAACATGTACAAACACACATGAAAAGAAAAAAAAAGAAAGAAGAGGGCGTGAAGGAAGGTAAAGTGGTGGGGGGTGGGAGTGGAGGGGGATCTTTAATGTGAAGAGAAATAAATACCTCCTGATGAGTCATGGTGATGGATTTAAAAAAAAACACAGTGGGAAGTGGGGATATGAGCAACATGCAAAAACAAATATGTATAAAATGTCAAAGTGAAACCCATTATTTGTATACCAACTAAATTTAAAGATAACCTTTTAAAGATATGGGGGCAGGGAGGCTCAATGGTTAAGAGCACTGACTGTATTACAGAGGACCCGGGCTGGTGGCTCACAACAATCTGTAACTCCAGTTGCAGGGGATCAGACAGTTTTCTTCTAGCCTCCATGGACAACCTCACACACACAGATGATACATAGTTATACATGCAGGTAAAACACTTATATGCATAAAAATGAACAAATTTTCAAATAAAACAACCCAGGGACACTGTGCTAAACTCAAGGTAGGTTCCTTACTCCAGAAGATCAGCCTGTGGTCTCCTGTTGGGAAGGTGATTAATCTTCCTCAGGCTCCTGATACTTTCCAATCACAGGAATCATTATGGAACGTTGCTGTAAACCCTGGAAGGTCTGTTTGCTTCTTTTCATGAGGGGATTAAAGACACTGCATCCTTGTGCAGCTAAGGTGAGAGGAATCCATTGTGTAACATCAGGAATCAATTCTCCCAGGGGAGGAAAATCAACCTCTAGCTTAGAGGTCAATTTGCCCATCAAGAGTCATCTACAGTTTCATTACCAAACAGTGCTGCCCCGCCAAACTGCATAATGATAAACTGTCTATGAAAATAGGATGGAGGGCGGGTTCTGGGGATCCCCACTTATTTACAGCTTCTTTGTTTCAGTTTGTTTGACCAATGTAAACACTCTGTGCCCAGTGATATACTTTTTAATAACGTAAAGAACGGTTTATTTTTGGCTTTTCAAGGCAGGGTTTCTCTGTGTAGCCCTGGCTGTCCTGGAATTTGCTCTGTAGACTGGGCTGTCCTGGAACTCAGAGATCCTCCTTTCTCTGCCTCCTGAGTGCTGGGACTAAAGTCATGTGCCACCACCACCTGGCATACAAAGAACTATTTCTAAAATTAGAGTGTTAGTTTCCATTTCTGGAGAATTCACAACAAAATTTGAGTGCTGTGGGATAATGCTCTTGTACACTGTAAAGATTTGTCACTCGAATTGGTTTAATAAAATGCCGGTTGGTCAGTAGCCAGGCAGGAAGTGTAGGCAGGGAGAGCAGACCAGGAGAATGCTGGGAAGAGGAAGGGCAGAGTTAGGAGTTGCCAGCCAGACGAAAGGAAGCAAGATGAGAATGTTGAACTGAGAAAAGGTACCAAGCCACATGGCTAAACATAGACAAGAGTTATGGGTTAATTTAAGTGTAAGAGCTAGTCAGTGATAAGCCTGAGCTAATGGCCGAGCAGTTATAATTAATATAAGCTTCTGTATGGTGATTTGGGAAGCGGCAGCTGGGTATTTGGGAGTTGTTGGCAGAACAGAAACTTCTGCCAATATTTGAGTACTACAAACATTTAAAAAAAACATGCACCCGGAAGAACTCTTGAAATTTCACCACATTTTTCCAAGACTGGGCTATTTTTAGGGTGGTTTGTTTGTTTATTTGTTTGTTTGTTGTTTGTTTGGCTTGCAGAGAAAACGCTTTCACGGAACCAAGATGTTGGAATCAAGATACCCCCTGCACAGCTGCCCCTCAAGATACCCCCTGCACAGCTGCCACTCAAGATACCCCCTGCACAGCTGCCACTGAGAACAGTGGAGGCAGCAAAGAAGATATTGCATTTTGGTGTTGGTGAGCAAGAAAGAAGATGGTCTTTGCCCCCTTCCAACCCCAATAACTTAAACTACCAGAGCAGCCACTTCAAGATGCTTGTCTTGGTTAGTGGACCAGGAGATGAATACTTGAGTCAGATAGATGCTTTGGACCCGTGGGATAAACATAGGGCCCTCGACATCCTGAAGCTTCGGGACCAACCACTTACATAGCTATAAGCCCAAGTTTGAGCATCCCCTGCAACTCTCCAGTGGGTTGGAACTCATGCTCTTCCTGCCTTAGCATCCTGACTGCCTTTCGGATTACAGGCTTGTGCCGCCACACCCAGTTTACCCCAAAGAGCTGACCTATAACGAAGGATTTACTTTGGCTTATAGTTTCACTTAGACCTGTCACTTTGGGCCTGTGGTGACGCAATCATGATGGGACTATGTGGTGGAACAGAACCCGGGAAGAAAACATGAGAGGAATATGGGGTCCCCACATCTCCTTCGAGGCCATTTCCTTAGTGACCTAACTTCCTCCCAGTGTTTTCCACTTCGTAAAGATTGCACCACCTCAGAAGAGTGCCACAGGCTGGGGACCAAGCCTTTAACACATGGGTGTTAGAGACATTTCAGATCCCACCGGTAACACCTTCCAACTTCATTTTTCTTTCTTGCAAGTCTTTGCATTTCCAGATGAGATTTAGAATCAGCATGAACTTTTTAGGAAATCTATGGGATTTAGGTTGGGATTACATTGCTCCTGTCCATCAGCCCCACCCCACCTGCTTTCACTTGAAAGGAAGCCAGCTATCTATCTACCCACCCACCCACCCACCCACCCACCCATCCATCTATCTAGACAGGGGCTCATGTGGCCTAGGTTGGCCTTGACCTCACTATGTAGCTAAGGATAACCTTGAAGTTTTAGTCCTGCTACCTCTACCACAGTCATTTGCTACCACAATTGGATTTTTGTTTGGTTGTTGTTGGTTTTCGTTGTTATGTTTTTAAGACAAGGTCTCACTATGTAGCACCGGCTGGCCTAGAATTTGCTATGTAGATCAGGCTGACCCCAAACTCACAGAGATCTAGTTGCCTCTATTGAAATTAAAAGTATGTGCAATATGTGGAGTTTCTCTGTGTCTTGGCAGTTGCTCCCAAATAACCACACAGAAACTTCTTATCAATTATAAATGCTCAGCCAATAGTTTAGGCTTGTTACTAGCTAACTCTTACAACTTAAATTAACCCATTTATATTAATCTACATTTTGCCACATGGCGTTACCTCTCTTTCATCTTGCACGTCCTGTTTTCCTTTCCATGTCTAGCTAGTGACTCCTCTGACTCCGCCCTTCTTCTTCCCAGTGTCCTTAGTCTAGTTCTGGCACCCAACCTTATCCTGTCCAGCTATTGACCAGTCAATTTCTTTATTAAACCAATCACAGTGACATATATTCACACAGTATAAAGGAATATTCCACAGTGGGCCACCATGCCTGGCCATATACCAGGGTGTTTATTCCAGGGCTAGGAGCTCAGGGCTTCATGCAAGCGAGGCAAGCATTCTACCAACTTGAACTATAATCCCAGCCCCTATTTTCATTTAAATTCATTACAGGCAAAGTTTAATTCAAAAACATTTCATTATCCTCAAGAGCCTCCTGTAGCCATTTTGGTGGTTAATCGTATTCTATCTTTGCTAGGCTGTGGTGCCTGCTTGGTCAAACAAGTGTAGACATTGCTTTGAAGGTGTATACAGATATTTAGATCTTTCTATTGAGGTCCACCAAGAGTAAAGAATTATGCTTGCAGCTTTCAGATTGAGCATTGCAATGTCAAGCTCCTGCCAAAATTTCAGTATGCAGCCTGCTGGCACTAAGCACGTATAGGCCACCACTATTGTATAAGCTAATTCCTTAAAATTTGTTGCTTTCTAGGCTGTGACTATTGCACACATCAACTAACAGCAGCTGTGGTTAACTGTAGAAGACCAAGCCAATCAAAAGTTCAGCACGGATCGGGGAGGGTCCCCAAGCCCCTATCCCTGTTGGAGGAGCTACTGGAAGTTGATGGCTGCTGCAGGAAGGAGAGTCACTGTCCTTTGGGGACTTGGCTGTTGGTAGGATGCTCATGCCCCAGCGGATGGCTGTATTTCCATGCACTGTGTGGTATATGGGTAGCACTAATTAGACTCGGGGAGTTATTGATAACAATAATAATAAAAAGAAAGACATGAAGTTGGAAGGGAGATAGGGTCGAGGCACTAGAGGGGGTTGGAGGGCGATAGTGATGGACGGATATGATCAAAATACAGTGTATACATGTATGGATTTTTCAAAGAACAAAAATATCATTTGTAAAAAAGCTTTGTTGACCACCCCTCCCCCTTACATACACATGTGTTCTCTGCTCTCCCACTTCCACCCCTGCCTGACAGTGGCTTCCTCCATTTAAGGTGTATCAAAGTTCACCCTTGTTATAGCATGGATCAGTATGTCATTTCTTTTGTGGCCAAATTGTACATTACCATAGATAGATAGATAGGTAGATAGATAGATAGATAGATAGATAGATAGATAGATAGATATAGATAGATACATATATCTATACATATATCATATCATATCATATCTATTGATTCCTCCACTGCTGATGCAGTGTCTGATGCTGATGTTGTTTCTACCTCTGGGCTGCTAAGAACACTGGTTTGTGTTTGCTTGAGTGCCTGTTTCTAATACAGTCGAGGATGTATCTCAGAGCGGACTTGCTGAGTCAAAGTCAAACTGTCTTCCCCAGCAATTATACTACTTTCCATGTCCCCCAGAAGGATGGAGATTTCAGTTTCTCCATTTTCTCTTAGCATCATGACTATGCTACTGAGTGTGAGGTGGGATTTCATTTTGCTTATTCATCTATTCGAGGTAGGATTTCCCCATTTAATGTTGGCCTCAAATTCACCATGCTGCTGAGAGTGATCCTTCTGCTCATGCCTGCCTTCATATTGATTTTTATTTTTGAGTGGCTAAGCTATCTTTCCATATGCTTATCAACCATTTACACAGACACTCGAAGTAACTGCTCCAGAAAATAATTTTCCCTTTTTATCCGTATGGGTGTTTTCCCTGCAAGGATGTCTATATACCACTTCTATGCCTGGTGCCTTTGGAAGCCAGAAGAGGGCTTTGGATCCCCTGGAGCTGGAGCTACAGATGGCTGTGAGCTCTCATGTGGGTGCTGGGATTCAAACCCGGGTCCCCTGGAAGAGCAGCCAGTGCTCTTAACCACCGAGCCATAGCTCTAGCTCCCTAGAAAATTATTCTGCCGTGCTTTGTTTTGGGAATTCCAACTTCCACCTCCCCACCAGAGATTTACTTCAATGTCTCGACAGGCCTTTTTGTTTTACCACTGCATCAAAAATTTTATTGCACGCATAACTTGCTAGCAGATTCTGACAGGCATTTTAGAAGCCATTTTGTAGTGTTCTAAAGCTTCGTGCCCATCACAGGAAGGCAGTGCCTCTCGAAACATATTTAGATTCCATTAGGGTCCATTTTGTTATCACATTGCCAACTCTCAGGGGTCATTTTCTCTCCATCAAATGTCATTCCACAGCAGCTCTGCTATAGGATGTGACCAAGTAGTACCATTAGGTGGTGCTGTTGGGTTGAAAATATTCCAACCAACTCTATTGTGGCTTTGCTAGCCTTCAGTTTTGCAGGCTGCTCAGAAATCTTCTCTGAGGAAGCTAATGCCTGCCCCTCTCCTCTCACCCCACACACCCACAGCCTGACACCCTCTCATCACCCACTGCTAATCATGCCTCCCAAAGAAGTCCTCACCCAGGGAATCTCCTCCCTGATGACATAACCAAGCTTTGCTGGTTGAGACACATCATCTCTTCCTTTCATGTCCTACCCATTGCCCACTACCCAAGTCATCACACTTAATCCTTGCCCCAGCTCATACACAGCTCTCCCCCTTTAGCTTCCTCACTCATTCCCACTCGCTCATGTTTCTGCCAGCTATCTGGCATGAACTTCCAGAGTAGCAGCTCACTTCTCCTTTCTGTTATTCTCCTTCCAAGGAGTTGAGGGAAAGTGGTCCGGAAGAGCCTTTGTCTCACCATCAAAGCCATTTCCTCTTCCTTGAAAGTCTAATCACCTTCCTCAGCCACATCTTCTCTAGCATTTTGCACCATCTCTAACATTCCTCACTGTCAGCAAAGCCCTAAATTCTTTCAGGAACCACCACAGGACTAGATTCATCTGTCACGTACTCCACACTTAAAAGCGAAGCAAAACAAACCAAAACCAAAACCAAGAAATAGGAGCCAGGAATGTAATTCAACAGAGTGCTTTGCCAGCATGCACAAAGCCTCATGCCCAACAATGAACGAATGCAGACGTGGTGGCACATGCTGGTAGCATCAGCATTGAGAGGTGGTGACAGGAGGCTGGAAGTTCAAGGTCATCCTCGACTCTTCAAGGCATTCAAGTAGCCTGGGGTTTATGAAAGCCTATCTTACAAAGGCAATAAAACACAAAATGTAGGGGTTAAAGAGATAGCCATGAAGAACACTTGCTTTTCTTCCAGAGGATCTGCGTTAGGTTTCCAGCATCCACTGCAGGCAGCTCCAGCTCCAGGAGATCTGATACTTTTTTCTGGCCTCTACAGGCACCCGTACATATATGGCATACACATACCACCACCAACAACAACAACAACCCAACTTGGAAAAAACATTTTACAGCTGGAAAGTACAGCTCAGTAGAGAGTATTTGCTTAGCATACATGAGGCCCTGGGTTCAAACCCCAGCCCTGCAATTAAAAAAACACAAAATACATACATAAATATACATATATAAAATTACACTTTCCAAATATTTTACTAAAGCATTTATTTTTTTAAACAAAAATATACATTAAATCTCAGATTTACAGCATATAGAAATAATTTATGATTTGCATTTTAAAATTATTAATATTGCACCCAACAGTGTAAGTCTTTGACACATATGCATTGTCAACCTTTCCCACCATTCAAAAAAAAGTGAAACTTGAAACTGACAAAATTCACAAGCTAAATTTTCTGTAAAAAAAAAAAAAGAGAGAGAGAGAAACATACAATTCTTCTTATTTACAAGGTAAAGTTGTAAACTTTCAGAAATTTACCTCCATAGGATAGGCATACATTCTTTCATTATACCTAGACAATGCATTATAAAATTACAATTAAATTGTCCTGTCCTGTGTACAGAAGATGAACTATACACATGATTTCCTCTTGGGAGTTCACAGACTGATATAAACATTTGCAAGTTGAAAAAAATAACCTACTGCAACCCATCTATATCTTGACTAGAGTTGGAAAACTGTTTTGTGAGAAATAAAAACGAGAAGAGTCCATGAAAAAAAATTAAGTTACCTTTTCAAGGATATTTTCCTTAATTACCCAATTTTTTTCAAAATAAAAAATACTGTTCTTTTGTCTTAGACATAAGACAGATATGCCAGCCTGAGGCTCCTGAAAGACTCGCATACAATACTTTGTAGGAAGGGGCATACACAAACATTTTCTTTTTAACAGACGGCTCTGTAAAATAGTGCCAAACGTATCATCAGTGCCCTCTCTGGCCTTTTGGTTTGTTTGCTTAAACTTATCTGTTTTGAACAGGAGACCTCCCCTTCACTTCCAGGAAACACAGAGGAAAGTCCGCCCGCCACCCGCAAAGGCTTCCTACCGGGTACATCCAATCTCCAGACATTGTGACAGACAATTTGTACAAAGCTCTCACTAGAGAACCAAGCAATGGAATCATTCACGCGAATGCGTACACACAACCTCATAACGTTTTAAGGAAATTTACAATTTTTGTGTTGGGCCACACTCATAGTTCCCCTTAGCTGGGTACGGCCACAGGCAGCAGTCTGAATACATCTTTTTAGACTTTGTACAATGTCGCTCTTACCTCTTCTGTGTAGTAGTAGGACTTTCCCACCAGTTAACAGTCAAGCCCCGATGACAAAGTGTGTCTGCCCCCTAATGCATCCAGTGGCTCGTAAGAGCTAACGTGGTGTCTTCTAGAAGAATCCGCAACTAAATTTTCAGTAGGCAATTTCCTGTTCTTTTCCAAATAGTTAATTTTAATTGGTCCATAATTGTGCATATTTATGGGACACCATGTGATATTTCTTCCTTTTGGTACTGAGATGGGACCTGAGGCCCTGGCTCTACCACCAAGCCACAAGGCAGCCCGCCATGGGGTATGTGTATACCGCACAACGCTGACATCCGGGTTTGCCCCTTTCTTCAAACAGTATCACTTCTTTGTGTTGAAAACATTCCAATCCCTTTTATCTAGCGTCTCAGAAATATATATTCCATTATCATTATCCATTGTCCTCTACTGCGCAACAAAGGCCACAACTGATTTCTCTTATCTAAATGGAACTTACTTAATTCTAGTTGATACCGTCTTCGGCTTTTAAAAGTCAATTTTGGAAAATTAAAGTGGGGAGTCAAACCACTTGGTACTGCGGGGAAATGCTAAAACATGAAATAGTAAAATTATGTAATGCGTTACTCAACCCGGTAGTAAATCAGAGCCAGAACGAAACTTTGCACTTAAGCATTCAATCAAGGAAACTTGTTTCAAATTTTATAACTTGGTGTAAAGCAACATGAAGCCAATCACCAGCTCTGAAAATGTCACCAAACCACTTTGTGTCAGGTGATAAACACGACGAATCTTTTGTTACTACATTCATACATTAAAAACAGACTTTTTTTTTAACAAAGTGACAAGCCGCGGGAAGTGCATCAAAAAGAATCCATGTTTGAGGCCACAGATAGGACAGCGTCGTTGTAATTTTATAGTGCCGTAGTATCCTTGCAGCTGAAATGGAGACTTCTCTAAATTCTGTTGTCCTCGATTGAGCCTGAATTAAGACGTTCCCTTTGAACCTCAGCAGACATAGTCGGCTGAATAAAATAGGTGGTGGCATGGCTCAACCCTAGAAGTTTGTTATTAAGGTTATTGTCCTCTGTGACAAGTTCAGTTTGTTTGTTTGTTTTAAAAAAAGGTCCTGAGTCATTAAAAAAAAAAAAAAAAAAGACATTTCCCCCAGCGCTCAGCTCTCCACTGTGCGTCTGTACTCAGCGGTGCCTTCTGCGATGATGGCATCCAGGGGCGAGCGCTTCTTGCGGATGCTGCGGCCAGAGGAGATGAGGTCCGCGTAGCCCCTCTGGTGCGAGAAGGCATAGGCCGAGCGCCTGGAAGATGCTCCCCTCCGGAACACGTTCTGCGGCCGTTTCCACTGCTCTTCAGCCTTCAAGCGCTTCCGATGCTTCTGGATCTGGGTAAAGGAGACCATGAAAAGAAAGGTCTGAGATACAGAGGATGCCTGGCCAATAGGAACTGGACAGAAGCTAGTTCCGGCTGAGAGGCTGCACACCCCTATGCACGAACAAACGTCCGACTTCTTTCATCCCGCAGGTAGAAACTGGAAAACTATGGTCAGGCATGGTGGCCCATGAATTTAATTCTTGTATTCAAAAGGTAGAAGTGGCCGGTCAGCGGTGGCACATGCCTTTAATCCCAGTAGAGCCGTGAGTTCGAGGCCAGCCTGGTCTAGAGAGCGAGACCCAGGACAGGCACACCAAAAAGAAAGAAAGAAAGAGAGAGAGAGAGAGAGAGAGAGAGAGAGAGAGAGAGAGAGAGAGAGAGAGAGAGAGAGAGAGAGAGAGAGAAAGGAAGAAAGAAAGGAAGAAAGAAAGAAAGAAAGAAAAGAAAGAAAGAAAGAAAGAAAAAGAAAGAAAGAAAGAAAGAAAGAAAGGTATCTTGGAGGTCAGCCTGGTCTATATTGCAAGTTCCAGGAAAATCAAGTCCCTTACTTTCCCTAAAGTTAGTTTCTGTCAACTTGACACAATCTAGAGTCTTTTGAGAAGAAATGTTAATTAGGAAAATGTCTCTATCAGATTGGCCTGTAAGCAAATCCATGGGGCATTTTCTTGATTAATGGTTGATATGGGAGGGCCCGGCCCACTGAGAGTTCCACCTCTGAGCAAATGATCCTGGGTAGTGAAAGGAAGCAGGCTGAGCAAGCCATGGGGAACAAGGCAGTGAGCAGCACTGTTTCTGCTTTAGTTTCTGACTCCAGGTTCCTGCTTAAGCTCCTGCCCTGACTTCCCACAGTGATAGACTGTGACCTAGGTAGGAGCTGTCAGCTGAAATGAACCTGTTCTTCCCAAGTGGCTTTCAGTCCATGGTGTTTATCAGAACAACAGAAAACAATAGAATAGCACTCTTTGTGAGTCCCGGGGCAGACTGGTATGTGTTGAAGATAAACCCTCTACAGGTTTTTCCTGCATGTTAGGGCATATTCTCTCTCTCTCTCTCTCTCTCTCTCTCTCTCTCTCTCTCTCTCTCTCTCTCTCTCTCTCTCTCTCTCTCTCTCTCTCTGTGTGTGTGTGTGTGTGTGTGTGTATGTGCATACACATGGCTATGGAGGCTAGAGATGGATGTCTGGTGTCTTCCTCAATCACTTCCACCTTAATTTTTGAAGTAGGATTTCTCAAGGAACCAATCCTGGAGCTCATAGATTCAGCTACACTGGCTGGTCAGTAAGTGCCGGGAATCCTCCTGTCTCCACCTCCCTAGCTCCGGCATTACAGGTGCAGGGTGCCAAGGTGAAGTTGTTCATGTGTGTGCTGCAACCCGAACTCAAGTCCTCATGCTCGCTCGCCCTGTAAGCACTTTACCAACGGGCCCCAATCTCCTCTTATTTCCTGGTCCCTGTCAACTGTCAGTGTTCTCCTGGGCACTAAAGGGAGCTTGCCCAACACCCACGTCTCGCCTTTCTATAGGACAGTGATTTATACAGATAGGTACTCCTCCCCCTGTAGTAACATCCCTCATAAGACACGAAGCTTCTTTCCTGACTGGGTATTAGTTCAACAAAGCATGCAGCCTAATTCTGACAAATGAGACCTGAGAAAGGTGCGTGTGTTGAAGTTCCCAGGGTCCTGAAGGAAAGGATGGAAGCCTCCTCTTTCCCCCTGTTTATCAATGTGCCAGATGTGATGCCAGCAACGGCCGTGGCCATCTTCTAGCACAAGATGAAACTCATACTGAAGACATTCCCCTCAGGAGAACGATGGAAAAGCAACACTAAATAGCTCAACCAACCGGCCCTGAAGTCTGCTAGGCATTTTGCAAGGGGAGATGACATGTTGTTTTGGGGACATTGATTGTGTGATAGGAGAGAATACTTTGCTTTAAATAAGGGGGGAGGGGGGGACCCAACCCATTTGCATGGCAAAGGGTTAAGATAATTGTAAAAACGGAAAGGACAAAACATGCTACGCTGTATGGACAAATGCTGGAAAGTTCACTGTCCTTTAAGATGGAATTAAAGAGAAATGGTAAAACAATGGAATTCTGGTCAGACTTTGCACAAACTGAGAAACCTGCAGGAAAGGCAGTATTGGGAAATGCTTTGGTTCCCGGAAGGGACACTCAGGTAGGAGAGGAGGTCTGTATCTTTACATACCTTGTCACTTTCTGATGGCCAAATGGTCATTGACAAGAAACGGATGGCAACGACGGGCAATAAGCACACCGCCACGGTCAGGATGATGGTCAACCAAATATACGGCTGTCTCAGGGCATTGGAAGCCGTACCTGGAAAGAACATGGCGGTGATGTACAGAGGCACTCGTATCCTAAGGGCACAGTTCGCCTTCCATACAGTCGAGCAGACAACCTAGGCTTTATAACCAGACTTACTTCCACAAACTGCTCCAGAAATGGCCAGTTTTCTGTTTTCATTTTTGAGACAGGGTCTCCCCCTGGGGCCCTCAGAGGGCCAAGACAGCAGGTGTGATCCACCACACTGAATCATGAATTAAAGCCAAGACCCAGCAAAGCCAAATAAAAGGGTCAGTTGTTTACTACAAGAAGATACACAAGAACAAAATGGGGGAAGATGCTTTTAGTAATGCTGCACCAATAAACAATGGAAAATTGGAGCTGGGATGTAGCTCACAGGTAGATCATGTGCCGAGCAAGCACCAGGCTCTGGGATCATTCGGCAGTAGAGACTTCCA